TGGTCCACTGTAGCAAGCTAATAGTAAATTCATTTGTGATGCCTATTTATTACAAAAGGCTGGAGCCTTTCAACCCCCTTGTTGTGTCTGGCAACTCCTGGGAATTAATTGCATGCTGTCAGAAAGGCAGATCTTGCAAATCCAGACCCAGCCCGCTAATAGTGGATTATTTAACAGTTCAAGACTGCATGAGGCTGCTTTTTATTCTACTCTGCTTGGCAGCTTTAAAGAGGTTTTTAAAGAACTGAACAGCTGAGGCAGAAGTCAGTGTGAGTTCGTGGGGAATGCATTAGCAGTGGTCCCCTGTCCGTAGCATCCTCAGAATGCTGCTGAGTTAATTGTGGCAGAAATCGCTTTGAACAACTCTCACAGCTTTCCTGCTGGCCATCTCCCTCAAAGCAGCCCCAGAGGGGTGAACAGACTTGGTGGACACCTCTGCTGTCCTTCAAGCTGAGTTTGGGGACCTGTTGAGCTGCCTAGGAGGTGCAGGGGGGCAGTGCGGGTTGGGGTTGTGGGACTGCCAGCTCTGAGGACACACGGTCCCAGTCCATCCTGCTGCCTGCCTCGTCTCATCATCCTCTCTGTGAACCCACTGAGCTCCACTTAAAACCAGTGGGGAGATCTGGGCTGCTTCACTGAGCTTCCCTGCTTTTAGTAGTTTGAGACTGTCTTCTAACTTCTAGGGCAAATTTACCTGAAGAAAGTTCATAACCACTTATTCCTGTTCCATCTCTGTTTATCGGGTTCTTCTCTAACTGCTGCTATTTATCCCTTGTACATGTGTGTGTATATACATATATGCATATGGCACATGAAGTCTTGTAAAATGCAGTTAATACTATGCTGTATCTTTAGAAATGTCTGTGATTAAATTCTGGGATTTTTCTCAGCTGCTTTCTGTTGGTGACTCATCATCATTCAAGCCCAGCTGGCACAACTGGGTTCTTGGTTGTTTCTGACTACTGAGGTTTTATAGCAAATGTATTTTTACAAGCAGACAAGTGGAGAGCCTTGTGTTTATTACTATTGGATTCATCCTCATTTATATCACTTGAATCTTCAAGGTCATCTGGTTCTTACATGAAATACCTTTCCTTCAGTCCTCCGTCGGCGGTACAATGCCTTTTTTAATAATGTGTACACATCAATACTTCTCGTGCCGTGGCTGTTAATGAAAGTACCGAGACAGGCAGATCTCGGGCTCGCTCTGTAAGAACCAACTCTGATAAGCACCATCAAATCTGACAGTGCCCCTTTCCCCCTGCCTTGTCTCTCTTTGATGCTGTCCTTTAAAGTCTGTTCCGAATCCTTTCAGAGCAGAGAGATCTGACAAGTGAGTCTTGGCATTACCTGGACTGCCCTCTCCTCTCGTGCATTTAACCCTACACTTCATCTCTGAGACACTGGACTTTTCTGATTGGTTCCTCCTCTAGTCCATTCTCTGCTTAGTTTTCATATTTTAATATTATTTTCATGTCCTATTACTTCTCCAGAGAAGCTAGGAGCTTGATCCCACTAAGTTTCACATTTGATGAGAGTATGAATTCTGCAGAGCGTATTTTTCATTTGAAGAGATCTTGGTCTTTTTCCATATGCAGTCCCCTGAGGTCCTGAATCCACTTTCTATCTCTAATATTTTGTATGTTCTCATCATAGGGGGTTTTTTTGTGTTTTTTTTTTTTCCACTTTCTTTTTCTGGCAAGAGGTATAATACATTTATCATATTCACATGTTTAACAATACAAACATCTGTTAAGTGCAGTGTTTCATGAGGGATCCTTATCTCTGCAACAGACTGAAATACAGGAACATATGAAATCCGAAATGTTTGGGATCACCAGCTGATGGAGCAGGGGCTCTGGATGCCCATCTCAAAATGGGAGGATTTGCAAAGACAGGAGGAGACCAGCCTGTAAAACACACAGACCCTGTGCATGCACAGGGAGAGCGGACTGGGAGGACTTCCTTGTTAATGCCCCAGTTTGAATCAAACTGCCATTCCTTCCGTTTACCCTGGCCCCTGTGACTGAATACAGCCTATTTGCAGGGAAGCTTATGCTGTTAATTGTCATTGCTCCGTGGTAGGAAGTAGGGTTACATGTTTTGCTCTCCTGGGGCCCAACTGCCCCACTTGCAATGACTGGGGGCATCAGCCTGGTTTCCTGGCTTCACACCTGATCTGGACAGGTGCCAACAGTCCACTGGTATTCGGCATAGGGATTCATTGAGTTTTACAGCTAAACTTAACTTACAGAAGCTGGGACTGTGGTTCAAAATGAAGAACTGGGGCACTAATAATTTCTAAATCTTGTATTTCAGAATATTTTTCAACAAACTGACAAATGCCCATAATCCAAGGACATGTTTTACTGAGCAATGGTTGCCAAGGACTGGTCTTATTTGTAGTATACCATAAGTACCTACAAATCTAAAGTCTACCATAAGAATCTATAAATCAGACACTTGCTCTAAACAGTAGTAAGTTATGCACCATCTCATAATTTATTATAATACAAACAAGTTTGTCAAACACAATATATTGTCTACTTATGAAAATATCAATATTCACAATTTAAATAGGAGATAGGTCCCATAATTTTATATACCAGCAACTCATCTAAAAAGTATTTTGTTCCTAGCTGTGGTCTTCAAGGACACATACCTATAAGTGACTGTAAAACTGTCCATTCACAGCTTATTTTTTCTAATTGTAGATATTTGAAATATAAATTAAATAGAGTACAAAAGACCATCTCCACAACAAAGATGGTTTTGTCTCCTGGATACCTTTTCCCTAAATAATGATACTATATGTGCTTGGTTAATTTTTTTACTATTGGAAAATTAGGAGGTACAAATAATACAGCAAGACATTGGCTAGTTAGCAACAGTCATTGCAAGATGCTTCACACAACCAAAAATAAGGCAAGTATTATCAACAGCAGCTCCCATATGGCAGACTAAAAAGTCAAGGCTTGATTATCCAAACTGGACTCTAAGAAGGCTTCAAATGTCTCTTAACAAGATACAGCTTGATCCAAAGCCCTCCTAAATTGATGGGGATTGGAAAAGCCAACCACAAAACCCAAAAGCAACTTTCCCTTTGACTTCAAGGGGCTTTGGAAGTAAGCTCTTAAAGCCCTAAATTATCAGAAATGAAATGACCAATCCACTGTACATGAAAATTGCACCTTGTCATTTCTAAAATGATATGGAAAGGGGTTGCAAGTTTTTTCAAATGAAGTTACTACAATTTAATGGGTTATTTTTAGTGGGAAATAAAATATTCACACAAAGATTTTGTTTTTAAATATGGTAATTTACAAAAATACATCATCAGGACAGGAAAAATCAGATGATGCTGCTAGTTTGCAGGATAAACATTACGTTACAAAAACTAATAAATCACACTATGTGAATGGCAGCATATGCCATGCACTTAATTCAATTTTTTGTAATAAATAAAAGCCCTAAACATTCACTGTTTTCTGTAAGGTTACTATTATATTAAGTAGAATAATGAATTTTTTGTATAAATAGTTTTTTCAATAGATACATTCTCAAAAATGAACCACTTATCTATATAGATATTGCACTTTAGACTCATTCACATGTAACTCAGACAAGCATTCCTCATAACAAATTTAGAATAAAAATAAGTTATAAATACAGTATTTTCCCAAAATGAAACATACAGTACCCTTTTCATAAGGTAACTTTGGTTACTATCAACTGACAAAGACCAGAGAGAGGCTTCTGAGAGGAGGTTAGAAGGCATGGGCACAAAACTGAATTTCTGTAAAACACTGGTAAAGGGAGCAATAATTTTAACCTTGTCATGACAATTACAGCAAGGCTGAGCATCCCTCTTACATTTATTATTGCAAGTAAGTGTGAAGCTTTGCTGAGATCACAGGATGAGGGGGCTCCTTGTTTCCCCTTTGAATCTGGATTTAGGTGGGCAGCATCATCTCGGTGGGGAAGGGTGGGAAGGGTCAGCTTTTGCTCTTGCTCCCCCATTCCCCAGACATGCCCCTCTCCTTGCTCTAGCCAGCATGGTCCCTGGGGTGCTCCAGCACCTTGCAGAGGAGTGCTGAGCCACTCTCCCAACTGCTCTGCCTGTGGGAGAGGACTGGGTGATGCATGCTCCCTGAGGCACTGGGCATCCCCTCCCTGTGGTCCTGACCAACCTGAGTGGCCTCGATCTCTCCTGACAGCCCCTCCATGCACGAGCCAGTCTTTGCCTGGGGGTCCTGGTCTTCATGGCTTGTGCCTGCTGCTGCCATTCCCTCCTGGGGAAGGTATGCTCAGGTTTCGTTGTGGGTTTTACTCTTGCAGAACACCAGTACGAGTCTGCGTGCAAATGCAACCTTTGCGGCAGAAGGGAACCAGGCTGTTGTCTTCAGCGGGGCTTTTGAAGATTTGGTGTTTCTTAGGGGAAACGTACCAAAGCTGAGCCACCTGTGTGTTTGGGAGATGCTTTCAGCCCTCAGTTCCCACCAAAGTGGAATTGACTGGACCCCTTCTCAGAGGACCTCACTGTTAGTCCCTGATGCACCACGAGCTCCCCGCTGGCAGCGGAGATGGGTGCAGGCACAAACACAGTGCTAACACCAGGCTGCTGCTTAACTGCAGTTACTGAGAAGCTGCTGTGTCCACTGACCACACTGTGCTTGTGTTCACCATACAAGGAAGTCTGATCCCACATTCAGTAAGGCTGCATTAAGTGCCCAAGATAGAAGTAAAAAGGTTGTGGTAGGTACATGACTCTTGAGAGACCACATGCCAAGATCTGAAAAGGAGAGAAATTAAAAGAAATGCATTCTCAGCCTTACAATAAATGTCTTCCCTCATCTTTTTCTACACTCAGCATTGCTGGGATGCTGGTTTTTGCGTGCGAAGGAAGAGAAGTTAAGCTACTTTAAATAAGGTAAATATTTAAAAGTCTTAGTCCAAGCTGATCTATGTTTTTACTCCTCTGGGGTATTTAATGGATTTCTTTCACAAATAGTTTTTTAAACAATTAAATGGTAAATCTGCAAGAGGATGGCATAATCTGTCAGGAGAAAATCTTAAATTGAGGGTTTTATATGTTAATCCCTAAAGGCCTGAACACAGGGGATAACTGATAATCTTTATGGATTAAGAAGGAACCTGAAGGCTGTGATCACTGCAAATCTCATAGGAGCAGCTTCAGTGGGATCTCTGCATCAGGCAGGACTTGGCCTCACACTTGAAAGTCTTTAGACACCATAACTGAAATAGCTGGGAAAAGATGCTGCTTTTGTTCTTGGCTCTAGAAACCTCCCTCGAGCTCTCCTGTCTCAGTTGCATTCTTAAATAACAACTTAAAACATACGAATATTGGCAGCTTGCAGCATAGCTTTCCATGCCAAGGCTGCAACAGGTACTGTATCGGTCCTCGAGCCTTGTTCAAATGAGCCAAAAAGGGCTTGGCACAGTTCATGTCTTGCAGGCTGCCTCCTGCAATGAGGTCTTGACAGCAAGACTGTGTGTGGGGCTATTTCATGTCAGAAACAACACATTGTTTTTGGCAAGTGCACGCACCAGAAATGGCACCTTCCACAGTACAGAAAAGCATCTGTTTGCTCAGTCGATAGTGAACTGCATGGTCAAGTGAGGTTTTGTTGTAATTAAACACTGTTGTGGCTTCCCCCATCCAATGAATTTGGACTGCACTGGTGCTGGGATGCAAAACATTTGAGTGCGACTGAACGCTGCTACTTGAGCTCTGAAGCATATTCAAAATGCTATGTAAGAGACGGAGGTGTCTGCCTTCTCACTTTTACTCCTAAAATCAAGTGCTCCTGTTCCCTCCAACAGTCTGATCTGCCCTTGGTCTCCCAGGGAAATGAAATCAAATGACCACTCTTCAAAACAGCCATTTCATTAAATTACATCCTGAAGATGTAACCACTTGAAAAGAACTTGCACCCAGAAACTCCAACTATTGCCCTTTTCATGGTGATATTTTTATAGGCTTTCCATTCTTATCATACTGGTAAACAAGCATTTTGATGCAGTGAGAATTGGCTGGGGAAATCCAAGGGCTGCTTGTTATGGAAAAGTTATGGTTTGTATAGAATTGCACAGGTTGCTTCTGACACTTAAAGAAGGCTTTCAGCGTCGCAGCTGCCATTGTGCGAAATCTTTTGCTAATAAAACAGTAGAGGAAGAAATTAATTGCAGTGTTCAGCAGCGCTAGCATATTGGCGATGTCCGACACAATATGTACCACCCAACTGTTGTTTATGGGAGATACGTAGAGGTGATACAATATCATGATTATTCTTGGTGCCCAAAGTATGGCAAAAATAGACGTTATAGTAAACAAAATGGCTGTTGTTTTCCCTGTGGAGTACCCTCGCAGTCGGAAATTGCTCTTTCGCCGCAGCTTGTACACGATGATGGAATTCAGGATGAAGAATATTGAGCAGGGCACCAAGTAAACGGTGAAGCAGTGGATCCAGATGAGGACGTGATGCATTGATGTGCTTATGTAGTCTTCGATCCAAATGTTGGGCCACCAGTAGTAGGGGATGCTGGTCAAAAAACAGGTGATATAGACACTTACAATGACTTTTCGCGTACGAGCAGGGTAGGAGACTGTGTGATACTTCAGCGGATGGCACACAGCTATATACCTATCAATTGTTAGCGGAACCGTAATCCAAATGGAGGTGTGGATGGAAGAAAATTCCAAGACCTCAATTATTTTGTCCAGTACCTGAGGCATCTGTTTGTTTAAGATGAAGTCTTCCATGAGGAAGTCAACAAAGACGATGAAGAAGAGAACCAGGATGTCAGCAGCAGCTAGAGCTAGAAGATAGTTATAGGAGGACTTCTGCCTGCGAGCCACAAGCTGGGAAAGGATGATGACTGTCAAGATGTTTGCTGTGGAAACAGAAACACAGAGTTAGGCTATTAAGATGTAACACTAGCTTTTCTGAACGCTTGCTTGGAGCAGTAGCTCTGTTCAAGCACTTGGCAACATGATTGCCGTCATTAAAGTTCAAGAAACTGCAAGGAAAACACTGCAGCTGGGTCCCTCGGAGAAGCTGTTGCAATGAGAGGAGCATGTGGCCCTGCTCCCAGCTGCTGGATACACAGACCACTCAGTGTCCTGGCAGAGCACAACAAGGAACCTTCGCTCCAGACACAGGGTTGGGTGGTGTCCAGCAGCCCTTTGCTGTCTCCTTGGAGTAGATGTACAGTTATGGCCCTGGCTCTGGTCAGCCCCACTGCTGCTGCGGGCATGGCAGCAGCACCCTGAGCAGAGGGTGCTGGGACTCCTGCCCCTGCACAGGGATGCAGGGGTAGCAGGAGAAAAAAATTAATATCTCACTCTCACATACACTCACTCTTATTCCCCCCCTTGTTTTTTTCACTTTTTTAAAATGAGTGATAAATAAGAAGGGTAGGTTGGACACTGGGGAGAGACATTCTGTTCCTCATTCCAGCTCGGGGTGCCTGCCTGTTTTAGTTTTGAACTCCATCTAGAAAGAGCTGAAATCAAAGCCACATGGATTAGGTATTTCTCTCCTGACTGAGTGGGATCCCAACTGAGAGAAGGACTTCCAGGAAAACACGTGTCCTCAGCTCCTCCCAAGAGCTGGAGGTGCTTCTCAGCACTCAAAAGTTTTCAGCTCTGCCCAGGATGAGTCTCCTGTAACTCAGTCATGCCTGACTGACCCACTCTCCTACAGATGGGGTCTGGGGAAGGATCTCCTTTCCCACCACTGAAACAATCTGCTCCACAATGACCTGCTTGCTTATCCAGAGCTGCTCTTTAGAAGTCCTTCAGCTGGAAGGCATTTTTCCTCTGGAGTGATACAGCTGAGCCTTTAAGGAAATCCTGCTGGTCACAGCACAGATGTGATGGATGTTCTGATTCAGCCCAAGTGTAAACATCCCTGGGTTTCCTGAAAAAGCATTTGACTGTAACTCTCTGGCCACAATACAGACCCACCACCTAAACCACATGGACGTATTGCATGACACTGAAATAGTACAATGGTGAAGGGCTGAAGTGTCTTGTCTCTGCTGTTTCACTGTCTGGTTTGCTTCAGTCTTCTAAAGCTGTGATTCAACTTAAACTTTAGTGGCTGCTTGAACCATGCTGTACAGAATGCTATAAGAAGTGCTTGGTCCTACAGCCGGTGGCCAGGCAGAGCTCCCCACCATGGATACAAACAACCTTTGCAGTCCTTGAGAGCTTTCCTGGAGCACTAAGGTGTAGCTAAACTACTTGCTCATGTTTATTAGAATTTACTGTGTAGTCTTGAATTGGGGAAAAAAATATCCTGTTATTCCTACTAGCAGTATGGCTGGAATGAGCCATGCAAGATTGTTCCCATCAGAAGTTAATATCACTTGGCTAGAACACCTGAAGTAGTGCTTAAAAATCAGAGATCTGGTTTACTGTACAAGAGACTGCCAAATGTTTGTATTTGACATTTTCGTAAGTGTTCTATAAATCACCTCTTCTGTGCATTCAGTGCTTCAAACATTTCTGCCAGCTTTGATGGATTTCCCAAAACAAATCAACAGTAATTGTAAGGATTCCTTTAAATCAGAGAGAAAGGAAGTTGCTGACATTAAGGTAATGATGACCTAGGACATATGTCCTACAACTGAAAATGCTCATTTTTAAAAACTGTTTTACTTGGTACTGGAGAAAACTTTCTCCTTCATAAATGCCTTCAAAGACTGCTGTCTGGGAGCAGATTTCTGCCACCAGGGAAATGAACTGCAGTGAATGATCTTGAGTAACAGCCCTCATAAAGTGTCACCTATTTTTGTATTAATATATTAATTTTGTATCTTGGAACAAAATTAAAACAAACATGACTATCAACTGACTCCTTCCCTAAATAAATAAATAAAAAGCATGATCCTTCCAACAATATTGTCTCAAATCGCCTTCGGGGGAATTTTCCCAGTCTGCCCTCCATTAACATGAATGCAGCTGCATTAGCTCAGAGCAGATATGGGAGACAGGGGATGATATAGTCAGAACTGCTGTGTCATTTTTCACTTACTTGCTTATGAAGTGCCTCTGTTGTGCCTGCTGATGAGCCCTAGAGGTACACTGAGTGATGTACTGTCAAGGAAATCCTCGAGCTGGAATGTTTATCATGACTCTGCAGCCACTGTTGGTTTTGGCTAGCCAGGCTGAGTGGCTCGGCTTCACAGATACTGGATGTGACCCATGGGGTTGTTCATCTTTCTAAATCCTCTGGATTTGACTGACTCCAGTGGCAGCAGCTGGAGTCAGTGTGAAGCAAGGAGGGTGGATGCCTGACAACACTGGTCCCTGCTGGTAGCTCTGGCCTGATTGTCAGAGGAGCTCCTGTAGGATGCTGAAGCCACGCCATGTCCAGGCACAGCAGCCCCGCTCCTCACTCTTCCTGCCCACTGCGGGGGTCCTGCTCTTTGGTTCTAACCCCACTCCCTTTGTCCTACAGGAGCAGATTCATGAGCAGTCCTTTTCTCTGTACCCTCTCCCCCTGCCTTTCTGAGGGTTCTCAGCAATGGCAGTAACAGCACATACTGAAATGCAAGTTACTTGTCTAATGCCAGAGAACTTTGCTTGGTGAGCCAGGTTAGAAAATTGATCTGACAAAGTGCATGCAAGCCCAATCCAATTTTTCTGCAAGGGTTACAGATATCTTGTATTGGAAATGCTTTCCCTGGGATCACATTAGGGCTTTTTCTGTCTGGATGATATGAAATATAGTAGTATCATCTACTTTGTGAAAACAAATATATATACTGGGGTGCAGCAAAAAGGTGCCAGTATGATAGTGTCTTACCACAGGGTTTGGGAATATTTTTCTTGCTGCATGCTGTACAGAGAAAGTGAAGAAGAGCTATGGACAAGTCTCAGCCCTTTGTGTTGGTCCTTGGTGTGTCCTCAGGCACTATCTAAAGCTCAGTAAAATGGGAAATGGGTGGGAACACTGCTCTGTGTGAATAACTGTGTCCTTGTGCCACCATCTCAGTGACTCCAGCATGCCTACTCAGTGCCCCACATGCCCTCCTGCGGGCTAAAATTACCTACTGCGGGTGAAAGGTGAGGGAATAGCATTTGTGACCACACTTTAACCTTGTTTACCCTAATTTTGCACTAATATTGTAGTCAGTGATGAGGACTATGGCAGAGATGATGTTGGAGATATAAAAATATCTGTCTCTAATGTACGTGGAGCTACAGCTGCTGGATAGGTCAGTGCCCCTAAACTGTCCTGGATGATATATCGACCATTTCTTGAAGCATTTTTTCCAGATACTAAGTAGTTAAGATCATCTGAATTTGAAAGAGTTTGATCACTGTGCTGGGAGTTGATTAGGGGATGACAGATGGGAATTTATGCCGGCGTCGCTTGCTGCAGTGCAGTATTCTGAATTTATAAATATCTGGTTGAGAACCAGAGCTTGATTAGGGACTAGCTGGCTGAAGCCTTGAGATGCCACTAGCAGATGATGAGAAGCAACTGCAAGAAATGGCAGGCTCAATTCTTTTCCTTCAGTCATGATGATGCCTTTGAGACACAGCTTCTGAAGGTCTCTGACACACAGACACCATCAGTCCGTGCTGCTCATACTATGGCAACCTTCTAACTAGCCAGGCTTTGTCACAGGACACCTATCTCTCTCCTTTGACACATTCTCTGACTTGAGTTTCTGAGTACAAACTGTAGCATTGAAATTCATGCCATTGGAGATCCTCTGTATCTGAGGGGGATAATGCCTTAGGAGTAACCTTGGTTCTCACGTGGACTTAGGTTTGCTTCCCATACCAAAGCCGTGCTGCCTTGCCTGCAGAGCATGGTCAGTCTTCTGTACCTCCTCAAAGCAGTGCCTGTGACCTAAAGGCACAGTTTTTTCCCCAGCTTCTTGTTTCATCAATTACAGTCATAGCTCAGATAGTGTCTAACCACAGCCTTTGTGGGGGATTCGCAGAGCTCCTTCCGCTGACTATTATCACCATGTGTGAGCTTAAGAAGGAGCAATTGTATCTGTCTAAAGAAGAAATAGGGATGTTTCTGGGCTTTGGGTTTTCTTGAGAGCATTTTGCATGTACACAGCAACCTGTGCAGTGAAACAGCCTTTACAACACCAGTAGTAGTGCTACTGTGTTGGGAATAGGGCCCGCTGTGTAGTTAGCACCATAAACTACCTAAATGAAGTAGCCATGAGTGTCGCTTACCGAGCGTGATAAAGATTAGGTCACTGAATATAATGGGTACCTTTTACCGAATACAGTTGTTGCTAGGATCCCTACAAATTATTGTGCAATGTATGAAACTACTCTGCAGGCCTTGCATTAGTCACTTGACTGGCACAGAGAGACAGTTTACGAACGGGAAATTTTAAATTGCTTTAGAAAATATGTTAGCAACATGCCTTTCTTAGATTTAGAAACTCTGAGACTGTAGTAGAATATACTAAAAATATATGGTGAAAAAAAGTAATGTTTTGACTTGATGGGAATAGATGATTTCCTCTAAGCTCGGAGTCAATATTAAAATGTAAACAGGTACCGTGTCCAGCAGCCAGGTCTGACCATGGTTACTCACACAGTCATTTGCCAATAGTTACCAGATTGGAGATGGGGATGGTATTCAGCCCTAACTTCATGTGGGAGTCTCTGGAGAAGATGATGACAATGCATGATTTCTGATAGAGCCTATGTAACAGGATTATTTTTTATTTTTAAATGCCATGGCAATGTAAACGTGTTTATTACTGATGCTGGCTATAGCTGGTTATGCGGTCTTTTAAAATGACCCGTGGATGCTGTTTGCCCTTAAGGAAGATAGTGCAGTTCCATGTTTTCCTCTTACAGCTGGTATGCATTGAACTCAACACTACAGCAGATGGGGACA